ACAACGACGGACAATCACTCATATGATAAGCTCCGCTCGACAAAGTCGACAGCGGAGCTAAAAAGGTATCCTTTTTTTGCATTTTGGCTATCTACTGGAACAGGGTTCTAGCTACATACCTCTACTACTTTTCCAGGTAAGTACACCCCCCCCCCCCACAATACCAAACAAACTAGTATTTAACCCTTATCCTACTAGCCCCATGATGATGAAAAAGGCTGTACGAGTCAGTGATATAAAAAATACAGCCAGGTATTCCAGCCCCCCTCAATACATGTATTAGCATATCGCAATAAAGTGGTAAATTATTGATTAATATCAGAAAGTAACCTATAATACAGTGTTCGGCTATAAGACTGAAAGTATGGAGTTGACCTTTTACCACCCAAAAAACATGCAGCAAATGAAATTTGATCTCATCAACATTGTATACTAAGCTCCCAGAGCTACAACTTGCTTACAATTTGAATTAATAGCGTCAAATGACAACATGATATTTGCTGTTCTCAAAACCACCACAATCATATCTTAAATTACCCATGATGCACTTGAAAAAGAAGATAAACTACGTAACAACAAATGTTTTTTTTTCATCATTTTGATGTGATCATATTTCTGATGTCAAATTCTCTGCTATTGAAATTTACATCTTAAATGATGGGAACATATGTGACAACAAACCAATTGTATGCTAATGTGATATGCTAATTTACTTTATACTTTAATTTATACATTGCAAATTTGTAAAATCTAACAAGGACATGTTTTGGCAACAATATATTTATTTATCTCTTTTTATCACTCGCAATCCTTAAATGTTGAAAAAAAACAATGCCATAATGTTTGTGTTTATTGAGTTAAATATAGAATGTCACATACTGCACAAGGGGTGGTGGATGTCCTGATCAAACAATAATATAGTCAATATTTTATGCAAATTATATTCCTATTTATATATAGCAATGAAGTGACAAAAATAATTCAAATACTAGTTTTTGTATGAGGAAGGTATCTTTCTATTGAAAATGTAAATACGGTATTTACAAATCAGTCATTGTTACACTGCATATTTTATGCTAATTACGATTACGTTTTCTTTACCCATAATACACTGAGCGTTTGGAGTTTTCAAGATGTCCGGCGTGCAGGTAGCTAGTGATCCCACAGTCTCGCGATTCGATGTGGAATTTTGCGGAGACGATGCATAGTCATTATGGTTAAGGCTGTCAGTGTTGGGATTGAGACTCCTGTTATGGCAAAAGGTGAAAAAAATCAACTAAATATAGACCAATAAAGAAAAATAGCAACGGGAAGTTCTACCTTTATTGTGGCGGGTGGGTCATCGTAAGAGGCGAGCATGTAGCGGTCCCCTCTGCTCGCCGGATCGCGAGATCTTATCTGTCGGGGTGAAAATATGGTGTTAGAAAACGTTGTTAAAATAATGGAAAATCTGTATAATTAAACGAAAATGCGATAAGACAATCAAATAGTATAAGTCAACAAAAGACAAGTACGGTTTATTATGCATGTGTGTGACGTACCTTCATGAAGGTCTCTACGGCCCCCTTCGCTACGTCAAGTAATGTAGTCCCAACATAAGTCCGTTGATTCATCGACGCACTGGTATCGACGAGAAAAACTAAAATCGGCATTGCAAAGATGGTATGTTTAGCTGCCGATCTGAGTAATTTAGTGGTGTCTTGGGCGGCTTAAGACCTACAAAGAGACATGAATATCTTCCCTTTCAACTCTCGGCAACTGAGCGCAAAGCTGCCGTTCACAGCAGCGATGAAATCCACACGCCACTGTAACTGGTCATGGTCACGTGACGCAATGCAGCCATTTGCACGCGTTGGCGATAGCGCCCTTAACGGCGGGATTAGACAACTGGTGACGTTTCTCATTCACCAGTGAAAATACGCTAACAGCTAAACACATTCGAACTTGTTTGTTGAGATGTCAGAACGAACTATCGAAATAGACAGGACCGGTTTCAATATTGTGGAAACTCTCCGAATTATCAAATTATGTCGCCACCGTGATCATTGCCATCATTGTCTTCAAAGCACTAACTGATGTATTGTGAGATACGTGCATCCGGGACATTTAACAATGAAAAACAGCATTCATTATGGCACGTATGAACGAAGGCATAGGATAACCCGATTTTACCACAACTAATTGTGTTTACTCCGGCTTTGCAACAATAAACAATTTAAAATATGCATACATTTAAAATTAATAACATTGCCGTTATGCACAACAAATGACATACACTGTCATTATTTGAAACATTCTGTAGTTTGAGTCAACAACTTCAAGCTCGACGGTTGGGAATATATACCATATTGCATGTCTGTTTGTTACGGTCGGATTAGAACAGAATTAAATTAAATTAAATTAAATTAAATTATATAAAATTAAATAAAAAAATTTGTTTTTTGGTCTGTTCACAGAGAGCCCAGGAATTTTATAATGATAAAAGTATAAATGAACGGTTACCAGTAATGAACTATAGTAAGCCACAGTCCACAGGCCCGGCAGGGGCTGTGTGAATGAACGAAACGATAAAGCATTGGCTAAAACATGAATCATGTGTCAGGGGTGCTCGGTCCATGTCTTCTTTTGCACTTATTGAGGTTCAAGAACTGCATGGGCCATCCCTGGAACCAGCGACGCATCGTTTCGTGTATTATTATAATAATGTATACTCGTATTTTAATACAGTTTATTGTTATTGCCAGTATTAATAGTACATGCATTCTCTGTATAGTGGTCTTGTGTAGATTAAAGCATTGACACTATTTACTTTGGCCCTAAAAATCAGTCACCGTTCGATTATGCTGTACTTAAATTACGACTTTTCCAAACACGAAATTCGATTGCAACGGCTTTCATTGTCCCAGGTTTGAAATAATCATCAAAATATGAATTTTTAATTGAAAATTGTATCACATCTAAATATAGATACATACATTCCTGGAACGTTGGAAAAACACCAAGAATTTGCTATTACATTCCTATGAGCTAACATATATACTATAATTTATATTCATAGAACACTTCGTCTACCCTCTATCTAATCCCTATTTAATCCAGGATAAGAGAAATACATATGAAAATGGCAAATAAAACATGTGTTGTTTGGGTTCACATACGTGTCATTCTTATAATAAATAAACAGCGAACTTTCATTTAAATTTTCATAAAAGCAATTTAATTGGGTAAGCATTGATTCATGGCAAAACAATTGTTTAAGAGCAGTTTTCGAAGGAATTTTACTTTATGTTGGAATGGGAGAATGAATGAGACAGTGTCTCTTTGGTTTTCACTTTCGTCTAGATCTGAGAAGTCTTATGTTGCGGAAGTGAATACTTGTTGAGCATTATGAATATAAATTATACTGAATCACAGTGCCGGCGAGAGAGTAAATCATAGACGTAAGAAAAATCTCCCACGCTCTGAAAATGTGTTTTGTGAACCTTATATGATGGAGTATATGTACAACAGTATAAAACAGTGTAAAAGCTACTGTTTATGTTTGCGGGACATACTAGTATTGCATAATGCACCATTTGTTCTCGTTTTTACGTGCAATAGAACGGCCCCTATTCATTTCCACAGAGAGCGCTGTATTGGTCCCCCCCTTTTTTTTAGTCAACCGTGACATTAGACAACACAAGGCGCTTGATTTTTAAATTCTCAGAACATAAGTTTGATAACTTTCTGATAATTATCAGATAATGAAAAACATGTAGTATCCCACATTCATGGATTATTAAGCTATTCTTCCAGGCGATTTACACCTGACACGGCTCAACAAAAACACGCTTTGGGAACTAACTCGGATAGGACCTTACTGAACTGTGGGTAACCCATATTACTAGTTTTGTTTGTTGATTCCGTGAGGTGAACTTTGTTGCACTCTACCGCTCAATGAATTCGTCCTTGGGAATATCATTATCGCAATATGGCTGCTACATGACAGAGAACGCTTGACCCACTTTTCACCAAACAAGTTGCTTAATTTATTTTGTAGTCACACAACTGTTTTTGAATATATTCATACATTTAATTGAAGACAAACAGTATAATCTCAACCTGTTTGAAAGTTGTTAAACAGTGCAAGTGGGTGAAAACTACGAACTAATTAAATTACATTTTTTTAATTCTTTTCCTGTCACATGACTCAATTTACAGGCGTTTTATTCTGAGAAGGGGAAACACCCGACAAACAATCAAACGAGACAAAATGGCGACCTCCTGGTAAATTGGTAGGCGAACACATGATGAACGCGAACCAAAACAAGGTATAGAACATATGCAATTGTTCTAAAGGAATTATAATATCACGACTATCGTATTTTTGTCTGTATGGTACATAGTTAGATGACTTTAAATCCCGCGTGCAAGCCGAAAAGCAGCCTGGAGTCAGCTGAGCTGATGACGATTCGTCCGACACTGGACGGGGTCATTAAACTTTATCAACACGATCAGCATGGTCAAGTTGCCTCGACGCCGTAATAAGTGATCTGCAACATTTGATGAAATGTATGTAGGTGCACGGTGACCCTGGACTCATTTCCCTGCTGGAGTGGATTATGTTGCAGTCATCGGTCGCTAGGTCGTTAGATTGATTGCAACTCCTACACCTACGTTGAGCGATCGGGATTCGTGGCACAATTATTAGCATGTAAAAACAAGGCGGATGTGTAGATGCATACTATTTCCCGTGTCATCGTTCTTCTGCAATATAAATTATGTACGGTTATAGGCGCCGCCAACCAGGGTGCCTTTACAAATTACATTACTAAATTTTAGAACCATGCAGATGCTGGAGTGCATTTATGGATTTAGTGAATAATGAATTCTCTTGTTGAATTTCAATGGATATATATTTCTGGTAGCATGTTTGAAATTTTCATTTCAGGGTTCCTAAATAACTAAATATGGCTTTACCAGTATGATGTATAATTCCTGACAAGACACTCAAGTGATATGACGTCCCCCAAAGTTGCTTCCATTGAGTACAACTCACATTGCAAGACATGTTTCATTACATTACCTGCAAGCCTTGCTGCACAGTATCATCGAGTTGAAGTAAGTGTTGAACTGGATTTTAATTTCGCTGATAAGTAAAATCTGCTAAATTAAATCTACATGAACATATAAAATAACAATAACAAAAAAAATGGTTTTACAGTAGTTAGTCTTCATTTCTGGAAAATTTGTTTTTCACTAAATTATATTTTTGCAGATCTACTGTAAATTATTTCATTTTCACTATTTTGATATTTTATCAAAGTCCCTCAATTCAAATTTACATTTTCCTGTCAAAACATGAGTTATTTTGTAATTAATACTTGCTCAGCGATTAGAGAAGAAAAAAAAAACTGAATATTTAATGCAACTTCATTTCAATTACTGTGTCAAAAATGGTACTGTTTTGTTTTCATGTGAAAAGATGCGAATGAATACATATGGCTTTCAGTGTGTTGGCAAATCATTATGCTAAATATATCTATTTTGGTTGACGTGTTGCAGAGCACAAATGGAGGCTAATGTATACCAGTTTCTGTCTCTATAAATGGATGAATGTGTCATATCATGTTCCACCAATATCTCAAGAACAATATATCGATGGATATCAATGAAATTTGATACACATATACTTTGTTATGAACTATTTAGATTTTGGTACAAATTCATTTGTTAATCAACTAATTTGCAACTAATTAATAACTTTCAGCCTGTTTTTGTGATAACCTAACAGGTTTGCTCAAATAAGTTATGAATTGAAATATATATTCTGTTATTGTTGTTGAATGTCTAACTCTACTCAGAATTAATCTGCATATGTTAATTAGCTAATTTGCATACCAATTAAGATGGCTCAAATGGGTTAAAAATTTGTACATGCTTACTGTTTTTGTTGATGAATGTCTATTACTTCTTTATAATTAATCTGCATATGTTAATTAGCTAATTTGCATACTAATTAACCGTATTCAGGATATTTTGTTAACAGCATATCTTAACAAGAGCTAAAATGGTTTAAAATTATTTATTTTATTATGGTTTAATATTAAAATTGTACTGTTCGTATCTTTGAATTTTTAACACTGGAACAACGCTGCATATGTTAGTCAGCTAATTTGCATATTAATTATCTAAATCAGTTGTGTTAGTTGTTTAGTAAACATCAAAGATTATGAAATTTACTTCACACAAGGAACACTTTCTATCATCTCCAGTTCATGACTCATAATGGCTACATGCATTATATTGAGATATTTCTCTTGATAAAATTGTTATGCAAGTTTGAATGAAATCTAGTTTCCCCATACTTGCAAACTTTTGATTGTGGTAAGAGGGATGGAGGGGAGTCAAAGTTTCAAAAAATAAATTACATATACATGTTTTAATTACATATACATGCATGGTCCTTTACTATAACATGAATTGATGACAAATAGTATTTCCGAGAATGAGAAGAAAATTGAATGTACATGTTTAATCAAAATTGTGATAGCTTACTGTGTAATACTTTATTTTCGCCGGAATTAATTTTCGCTGAAAAGGCTTTTTGTGCGTTTTGCTTGGAATTTATTTTCACTGATTTTTCATGAGTTTAATGTGAAATATAGGGAAAAAAGTATATTCGCTGGATTTTAATTTCACGGAATCATCCCTTCAGCGAAAATAGTGAAAATAAATTCCAAGCAAAAATAAAGTATTCTACAGTAAGTGTTTTCCATTTATTGCAGTGTGCTGCTTTTGAATTACAATGGGCAAATGACTGTCAGGCATATATGAGTTGGGGCGGTGAGATAACAAGGGATGGAAAAGATGAGGCAATTATAGAAATTAATGGTCTTTATGCAAATAAATTAGGTTTGCCTAATGGTCAAGAGGTAAGTGAAATTTAACCATAATAATTTTCATTTTATGTTAAACTCGTTCCTTACCAATAATAGTAATTTAGTGCATATTGTGTCTAAATCAGTGAATTTTTTTAGCAACAGTTTTACTTGCATGAACATTTATATTATTTTGTCGTCTGGAGAAGGTATTCCTGATAACTTGGATACTCCTATAACGTGATTTACTCATTGTCGTCTACTCCAGATGCATGCATATACAGTTTTTTGAGAGAAATTTACAAATAAATGTCTTTAAATACCATAAAGTCCATAGCAAATAGTAACAGACGACCATTTCCAGGCGCTTTAGCTGTTCCACCTTTTGAGGGAAGTTCTAATACAGTGATGTTATTTAGCAAATTAATTTTGTTCTCTTTCTGCCGCAAGAAAATGGTTGTCACCACTATTACATATGGTTTAGTGAGCTTTATCCTGGGATAAGAAAAAATTAATGACACCAGATATATCAGAAATGACTAAAATACCATAACAAAGACTAAGGACCAAGAAGAGCTATGCACCCACAGTTAGCTGCCACATTGGTTTACACACCCTCTGATATGCAATAGAGATTGAAAAGATATCACTAATCATGTAATTAAAGTATTGTTGAATATGTAAATGAGTGAACAAAACCTAAAATAGTGACATATGATAAATATTGTGGTGTTAAAATAAAATATCTTTTGATTCACAACATATGTCATCCATAAGGTCAAAATAACACAGTTGCACACGTTGTCCTCGTTTGATCTGCAAAATATTCATAATTTCATATTTTGACATGGTTGGCGAGAACAAAGCTTTGCAGAATTTTTTTTTATGACTCACAAAATTCACTAAAAAATGAGGTTACTGTAGTTGTCAAACCAGCATATTGTCATCTGACCTTGTGAAGTAAACCTGTGAAGCCTAGACAAAAATGTTCTGTATACTGTGACCCTGACATCATTTGATCCACGACTGCTTATTTAGCATCCAGTCTTCCATGCTGGTCATATAGGCTATAGTTTCTTCTCGTCCAATGACTGGATATGTCATTATTTGGTTTCCATAATGTGCTGAGTATCTCATAATATCCAACTTTTTTTTAACATTTAATATTAAAAAAAATATTCATGTTTCTGGCCAATCGCATCACAGCTTAAAAAGTTGAATATTTAACTGACATAAAATAATAGATCTACTGTTAAAAAACATCTGGGCATTAATATTACATTTTCTATAATCTGCATTGCCGGCATGTAAATTGGCCAATCCTATGCATATTCATAGGACCAACAATGAGTTATGAATACTATTTGTATGAAAAGTACATTGTTATTTAATATCTCTTTATATAAAATAGAGCATATGCATGTGTGCAATAAACACATTGATATTACTACCAATTTAATACATGTATAACATATCGTATATGGGAATGTGTTCCTTGTTTAAATCATTATGCTTAATATTAGGAGATCATTGTCAAATTTTCAAATTGAATTGATTTTTTTTTTTTCGATAATTTTTCAGGTATTGTTAAAACCTTTATGCAGTGTGCCTTCTTGTAGTACGGCCAATATTGAACCATTGTCTGTAGATGACTGGGAAATATTGGTGAGTACAACTATCAGTTAGTTACACATGGTTGTTGATAACCGGATTACAGGTTATTAGCCAATCATTGACAAGAATTAGGATTACAGTTTGTTAGCCAATCATTGACAAGAATTAGGATTACAGTTTATCAGCCAATCATTGACAAGAATTAGGATTACAGTTTATTAGGCAATCGTTGACAAGAATTAGAATTACAGTTTATTAGCCAATCATTGACAAGAATTAGCATTACAGTTTATTAGCCAATCATTTACAAGAATTAACATTACAGTTTATTAGCCAATCATTGACAAGAATTAGTATTACAGTTTATTGGCCAATCATTGACAAGAATTAGTATTACAGTTTATTGGCCAATCATTGACAAGAATTAGGATTAGAGTTTATTGGCCAATCATTGACAAGAATTAGGATTCCAGTTTATTAGCCAATCATTGACAAGAATTAGGATTCCAGTTTATTGGCCAATCATTGACAAGAATTAGGATTCCAGTTTATTAGCCAATCATTGACAAGAATTAACATTACAGTTTATTAGCCAATCATTGACAAGTTTGAGAATTACAGTTTATTAGCCAATCATTGACAAGAATTAGGATTACAGCTTATTAGCCAATCATTGACAAGTTTGAGAATTACAGTTTATTAGCCAATCATTGACAAGTTTGAGAATTACAGTTTATTAGCAATTCATTTACAAGAATTAGGTTTCCAGTTTATTAGCCAATCATTGACAAGAATTAGGATTACAGTTTATTGGCCAATCATTGACGAGAATTAGGATTCCAGTTTATTAGCCAATCATTTACAAGAATTAAGATTACAGTTCATTAGCCAATCATTGACAAGAAATAGGATTACAGTTTATTAGCCAATCATTTACAAGAATTAGAATTCCAGTTTATTAGCCAATCATTGACAAGAATTAGAACTCCAGTATATTAGCAATTCATTTACAAGAATTAGGTTTCCAGTTTATTAGCCAATCATTGACAAGAATTAGGATTCCAGTTTATTGGCCAATCATTGACAAGAATTAGGATTCCAGTTTATTAGCCAATCATTTACAAGAATTAAGATTACAGTTCATTAGCCAATCATTGACAAGAAATAGGATTACAGTTTATTAGCCAATCATTTACAAGAATTAGAATTCCAGTTTATTAGCCAATCATTGACAAGAATTATAATTCCAGTATATTAGCAAATCATTTACAAGAATTAGGATTACAGTTTATTAGCCAATCATTGACAAGAATTAGGATTACAGTTTATTAGCCAATCATTGTCAAGAATTAGGATTACAGTTTATTAGCCACTCATTGACAAGAATTAGGATTATAGTTTATTAGCCAATCATTGACAAGAATTAGCATTACAGTTTATTAGCCAATCATTGACGATAATTAGAATTAGAGTTTATTGGCCAAACATTTACAAGAATTAGCATTACAGTTTATTAGCCAATCATTGACAAGAATTAGGATTTCAGTTTATTAGCCAATCATTGAAAAGAATTAGGATTCCAGTTTATTAGCCAATCATTGACAAGAATTAGGATGATAGTTTATTAGCCAATCATTGACAAGAATTAGGATTATAGTTTATTAGCCAATCATTGACAAAAATTAGGATTGCAGTTTATTAGCCAATCATTGACTAGAATTAGCATTACAGTTTATTAGCCAATCATTTACAAGAATTATCATTACAGTTTATTAGCCAATCATTGACAAGATTGAGGATTACAGTTTATTAGCAAATCATTGACAAGAAATGGGATTCCAGTTTATTAGCCAATCATTGAAAAGAATTAGGATTCCAGTTTATTAGCCAATCATTGACAAGAATTAGAATGATAGTTTATTAGCCAATCATTGACAAGAATTAGGATTATAGTTTATTAGCCAATCATTGACAAGAATTAGGATTGCAGTTTATTAGCCAATCATTGACAAGAATTAGCATTACAGTTTATTAGCCAATCATTTACAAGAATTATCATTACAGTTTATTAGCCAATCATTGACAAGATTGATTACAGTTTATTAGCAAATCATTGACAAGAATTGGGATTCCAGTTTATTTGCCATTCATTGACAAGAATTGGATTCCAGTTTGTTAGGCAATCATTGACAAGAATTAGGATTACAGTTTATTAGCCAATCATTGACAAGAATTAGCATTACAGTTTAATAGCCAATCATTGAAGGATTACAGTTTATTAGCCAATGAGTGAGTGACAGGATTACAGTTGTTAGCCAATGAGTGACAGGATTACTGTTGTTAGCCAATCATTGAAAGATTACAGTTATTAGTCAATCAATGACAAGATTACTGTTGTTGGCCAATGAGTGACAGGATTACAGATTGTTAGCCAATTAGTGACAATCTCCTAACTCAGTAATTGTATTTGCAGGAACTGCATGCTGGTTATATAGAGTCCCAGCTACTCAGTCAGTTAAGAATTGTATGGCCTGGTCAAGTCTTCCCAGTGTGGATCAATAAAAATATTTGTATTTTCATGAAAATAGGTAAATGTCATTATGTTTGTTACTTGTTGACCTTCATATAATTGTATTCAAGGGTAGAAAAGATTGCAAATTTTATAAGATACAGTCCTGTTCTAATTACACAATGTGACTTGTATCATGCACATTGATCAAACTTTTTTGGGGTCATAATAAAATAAATTTATTTCCACATGAAAAAATAATATTACAATGAAGTTTTAAAGGCCAAAGCCTACTTTTGTTTCCTTACACTCAAAGAAAACGGAAATACTGTAAAATAGTTTATTTTATTTAGCTGGAATTAATTTTCACTGAAAAGACTTTTTTGGTGTTTTGTATGGGATTTATTTTCACTGAGTTTTGACAGGTTGAATGTAAAATATAGGGAAAATGGTATATTCGCTTGATTTTATTTTCATTGAATCATTCCTTCAGCGAAAATACCAAAAATAAATCCAAGCGACAATAAAGTATTTTACATTAATTTCTGGGGCATACAATGTTGGTGAAATCATGGTGCTAATAAACAATGTTTGAAGTCCTGTCAGAATCTGGTTTATTTTTCAAAAGCAAAAACTTACTATACATTGGACTACATAAAAGTGTGATTTCTGTATTTATACGTTTATGTCACCCCTGTAGAATACCATGGAAAGTCATGGGAAATAAAAAAAAAAAATTCTTTTGAATCAATTATTGTATAATAAACACAATAATTCTTTTCATAATTTACAGATCAAATTATGCCAACTGCCACATGCTATGCGAAACTAGAGCAACACACAGAGGTTATAGTGGCACCCAAATCTAGGCTATCTGAAAGTTTCAATAAACCCACTAGACACCAACACCAATTGGAACCAAAACCAAAGTCAAAATCGCTTCTTGAAGCATCCACTCATGGTTCTGTTGCCAATGGTTCAATGGATGGTGTCAACTCGTGTTCAACATTGCGCAATTCAGAACTACCTGGGAATGGTTCACATGGAAAAGAGAGATTAGAAAGTGTGGACCATGTTAGAAAATATGGTTTGATTCTTGAGAATGGACGTTTGGAGTGGTCTCTCTACCCGGCATGGTATGCTTCAAAAATATTTAACTATGTCAGAAAAATTGTGTCATCTCCAGAGGTTGAACGAAATGAAACAAAAGGGAAAAAAGAGGATGTCGATGATGACGAAGATGTTGATGAAGAAATTGATCTTAGCGATGTTGACCTGGTAGTGAGAGTGCATCCAATGTGTGACAGTACAATTGTCACTGAATCGCTAAGCCGACCACCATCTTATGCTCAACAGCTGACACAGCAAGCGTTGTCCAAGGTAGATCTTGGTCCACTGGAGGCAGACCCTAGTGATAATTACTCGCATTTGATGCAGCCTACCACAGTGTTTGTAAAGCGGAATACTCTTCTCAACGCCATGGCCAGTGAGGAAAAGAAAAGTCAAGTGAGGATGCTGTTGGATACGGATCACTGTAGCTTCTTAGCCCTGTTGACGAGATTGTCATCCCCAAAAGAGAGAATGGAAGAGATGAGAAAAAAGATCCTTGACAACGAAGAGAAGAGTAAGAAAAAAGAAACAGTCGCAGATGAAAAGAAAGTCGCTGAGAAAAAGAGTAAAGACCCTGAGAAAATAGCTGAGCAGCAGTCATCTTTTGTCGTGCGAATCATCGTGTACAACGACGAGTTCAGTATTCACTCTGGTGATGAATTCAAATCTGTTTCCATGGTACCGTCTGATTACCTACAGGGTGATTTTGTACAAGTTCAAGATCTTCTGCGCCGACAATTGAACTTGGAAGTGACAAGTAAAGTATGGTTACATGGGTTGAAGCATGAGGCATCAAATATATCGAGTATTCAGCTGCAACCATTCACAAAACTGGTAATAAACACTAATACCACATTTTCTCTGTTAGAAGTTCATATTTAATAAGGTGCTTAAGGCCACACAATGTTTGTTATTTCGTGAGATTTTAAGTACCCCCAAACTCAAATTACCCCCCCCCCTTCCCCCCCCGGTATGATTTGTCAGTGTTAACGTGTATTTACATACACATGTATGCAAATAAGAGAACCAATGCAATACACTGGTGACATTAGTGATAGAAATGCTACATGACTACGGCAAATCGACAAACAAACATTAGGTGAAAATAATCGCCGAGATCTTATTAAGAGTGAGAGAGCCGCAAATCTTGATTTTGCCCTTCAAATAAAGTTCCACCCCCAATCTTCATTGTGTTCACTGTTCCAAATACCTTAGTTAATACATAGATCTGTGGAACGGTTCACTAAGTGACGGGGGAGAATCATACACTATTTGAGGGGCAGAAACAAATCACCGAACTCTCATGCTTTCAACAAGATTTTAGCGGCCATATGCGTCCAAGATTTATTGTTACTATTCTGAAATTTTTTTGTTACGTACAATATCGATACATGTTGTTGTCAATATCAGTAGTTGTGCTAGATAAAATCACTCAAGATATCTACATTATATTCACTTGGTATTATTTTCCAGCCGGAAGACATAAAGAAAGAGGAGATACTATATTCATTTCAACATTGGTTGACATGTGTGTCCTGCATGATATATCCACTTCCTGTCAGTCAAGAAACATTGGTCCGGTTTCCTGTATCCAGGGCTGCAGGTGAGCATGTCACTTATGTCTGCGGCCATTTTGAAAATAAACAAAATTTCCATGTTAAATCATGATAACTAACATATTGTGACTATTTATCTCAATTTTATTTCAGATATTTATGCCGAATTCATGTTATTTGTGAAATCAAACACAAAAGAAGACAATGAATACTTCCTTTTGCATCCATTTATCGCAAGAAAAGTAACACCATCTGTCAATCTAATACCATACACCCAACCTGTGACACTTCCCAGAATGCCATGCAATAGTGTGAGTGATATTGATTCCACCATAATAACACCACGACTAAGGAATCTTGGGTAAGTGTTTATTTTAATCAGCTGCTGAAAATGTTTGCATATAGATATATAGATATTCTGGTTTGTATTTATGCCCTGAGAAACTCGCAGGAATGAATAAGATTGAAAACATCAGAACTTACATGCGATTACACAGTTCGTGTAAGGTACATTGTTTGCTTGCTGCCTGATATCTGTACCGCTTTAAGCAGGGATTGAAGTTACCAGACCCAAATAACTAATTTTGTCATGGGACAATCAAATATGAAAACTGCTTGTTTATTGGACAAGCAAAAAAATAATTACAAAATCTGTCACATTATAATTGTGTGGGGTTGACTTAGGAACACACGAAACATTAAAAAATCTTTCAAGTTTAGCTTCTTGTTTATTCCGCCATTTTCAGTTTCACCAACGACACTACTTTTTACATAACGGGTGATCAGGTGACATATAACACCATTACACCTAATTCTGACGCATACAAGTTGTCCTAAAAAATGTGAATGCATTGTTTGTTTACATATAATTTAAACATGTGCAATGTGATGTCCACCACTGCTCTTTAAAGTCAGATTTAAGTTTTATATAAACTGTATATGTGGAGACATTACACTTCTTTCTTCACAGCGGTGTTAATGACATTGGTCAGCAAGCATTAGATCATTTAAGAGCAAGTCTGAACATACGACCACTGGCTAATTACATATGCAAATCAACCAGTGGACTACTGAATGGTGGACTACTGATCTATGGCCCTAAAGGTAGTGGTAAATCGTCGCTTGGACGAGCGTTGTGTCGAGAGCTTCACGAGTGGCCTTATTTATGTCACTGTGTCATCATAGAGTGTAAACAACTCAAAGGTAAGCGCAGCAAACACTGTACTCCTGCATGCCACTAGAGGGCATAGCTTTTGGGGTAGATTGAATAATAATGTAGCATTCTAGAACGCAGTGTTTGTTTGTCCATGTATATATAGTTGCTATTTGTCATTATTATGGTTACATGATTCTAGTCCAATAATGTCAAGCCATATAATTTATAGTATATGTTTTTGATTTACTGGTATGAGTTATGTACAAGGAAGTTAATATAATTACCGTACTGGACCACGTTAGCGCCCATGTCCAGTCAAATGCTCATCCCCCACTTTTTCGCAATTTTTATATTTGAGGTCACATTTGGCAAAGCGCCAACCCCTTCAAAATGCCTTAGCGTGGATATCGACCGCCTTGAATATGTTGTGAATGTGTAGACCACGGTAACCGTGCGTAAACTACGCTTCAACAATGACCTGTTAAAAAATTAAAATATGGTAAATATTTCATGCCATGTTCAGTTTACCTATCAAAAATTCCTAGTTACCAGTTTTTTTGAAAAAAAACCATGCTGCTAGGGTAAGCACCCACCCCTAAAAAATCATAATTTTCTGAGTAGAGGACAATGGTCGCTAATGCGGTCCAGTACGTTATACATGTATATACACTGTAAAAAGACAATGAATGATGACATTAAAGGAGGACAGCACAAAAATTAAAAAACGCAACTGTATCTACAAAAAAAAAAATCCTGCTCAAAGGGTATCTATGACAAAACTGAGGATACTACATATACATGTGGGACAGGACGACCACAGTGTAATTTTTTTTGACTAATGAAAAATCCATCTAGGAAAGAGAGTGGAATCAATACGTAAGATCTGGGAGGAAGCCTTTCGTGAAGCATTCTGGAGAGAGCCTGCTATCATCTTATTGGACGATTTAGATCATGTGACTAGTGCACCTCTGGGGCCTGAAGAGGAAGTGGGCCCTGAAGCTGTTTATAATACAAGAATAGCACAGTGTAAGTACACACTATTATAAAATTATGGTAATTTTCACTCAAATATTTAAAATCTGTATTTATAAATCTGATGACTGTTTAATAATTCATAACTTTTGTTGCCATTCACAAAATAAACTCATAAAACAATTTTGTTCAAGAAATGAAAATTTGCTTTAAAAAAAAAATCTTAAAATGTGCAAATTTTAAGAATTTTTTTTTAGTTATGACACTATTTTATCTCTCATTGACTTTTCAGTGTTGAAGGATATTACACAATCATCATTGT